AGCCGGGCTGCCGTCCCGGCTCCCGGGGGCTTCCCGGCTCAGGCCCTGGCTCCCCGCCCACTCGCCCCTCAGTGCAGTGGGAGTCGGGGGTCCTGTAAAAATGAAACAGAAACTGTCAGCTACCATTTAAAATGGTGCTAATTTGAAAGGGCCTCCTGTGGGCCGCTTGGACCGGCTTGGTATCTCAGGGTTTATATTTGAGTAGTCCTTGTGAATTAAATGGACTTTGGATATAATTTGGTTTGGAAAGGAGCTCGGCAGGCTATCTGCGCAAAACCGCGATGTGTATGTGCACAGCGCTCAGTGGATTGTGGCTTTCAGTTCAGCGTGCGGTGAATGGGAGCAGCGGATGGCGGGGTCTCGCTGAGCAGCGGCCGGGGGGGGGAGCCGGTGCCTGCCCGGGCATCGCCCGGGGGAGGATCTGCGGGGCTCTGCTGCCTGGGAGCAAGTCACAGCTGCGCTAAGTGCCTTACGTCACTGGTTTAGCTGCAGTTTAGCAGCCTGGTGAGTCACAACAAGTGTTAATCACTGATGCCTCTAACAGGCTTACCGTTTGTGATAAAAGTTTATGGAGCTTGGTAACAAGTCCCAAAAATTCTCCCCTAAATGTTATTAGGGCATGTCTAACATATGCAGTGTAGCACTGTAGTGTAAATATCTGCTGGCAAAAAAAAGAAACCTGTACCAGGTATGACTGCTTTAACTTTCCACAGCTGAGAAAAGGAATGTGAGAAAAGGCACAGGGCAGGAAGACGAGGGTACGCTTTCCCCCTTGTATTCTTAAATAATAACATTGCCAACAGTTATGAAAAACTGCTAGAAAAAATGGCTGTAATTAAAACATTGCTAGGAACTCTTGTCAAAGAATGTGTATTTAGGCTTTTGGGTTTAAAAGTGAAGCCCTAGAAGTATCTTTTAAGTGCTTGTTTTTTCTCCTTTTCCATATAAAGAGTACCAGCAAGGTATGTTTTTGGACCTTATTCCCTAGAATATATGATAAGGTTCTTGACTGTACTAGGGAGTAATGCGTTTTGGAGCAAGGGTTTGTCAGGTTAATTTGCTACTGAAGAGCCTTAATTTGCTTTCAGAGTTGTATGTGCATTCAAAAAGGAATGGGGCAAAAGGCACAGGAAGTTAGAAGAAAAAAATGTACCTTTTTCTCTGAGGGAATTGCTATACCTGATGTTGGGCTTGTTCAAATATTTAAAAATTACTTCTATTCAAATGCAGTTAATCATTATTTTGTAATCAGTGAGGAAGTGAGACCTAATACTTGTCACTAATGTTTTTTTCTCTTCCTTTTTGTGCCATGATTTGCTGAGGTAATTAAGATCACAATCCAAGTTGTCCAGTGCTGTGTCCTTTTTTTATTAAGAGAAAAAAAAAAAACACCAGCCTTTACCACTTCATGAAGTTCCTCTGGCATTAATGAAATACTTTGTTAATAAACATGTCACAAATATTTCAGCTGTCTGATTGCTGAAATTATTCTGAGTGGAATTCATTCAGGATAGACAAGGGTTATCTCTTTGCAAAGTATGGTCTTTGCTGCAAGAGAACGCACAATCTGTGCACCTTCGAATGTTCTGCTACCACGTAGCTTCAGTCGGTGTCTGAGCAAGAGTAGGGAGTTTGGTATTTACCTGACCTGTGGGTGGATGTTATGGTGTCTGGCTTTGTGTCCTGATGGATCTGTTATAATCAGTTTCTATTTTTAGTGAATGAGTTCCTGGTTTATATGTGTTAATATCAGCAAAGCTTGTTACAATTAGACTTTTAATTTAATAGACAGAGGGTACTTTTTTTTCCTTCAGGGTTCAGTAAATTACACAGCAGGTGCTGAAGAAAGGAAGTACTGTTTTGCTTTGTCACTAAATTATGACAACTGACTAGACTAATGACAAAGTAAAATCTAAGTCTTTTTTTTCAGTTTAGTGGAAGGTAAGGAGGCTTTGCAGTTGTGTTCTTATTTGGGCTGCTCAGAATGATGGCAATATTGGTACCCAGTGAATTGAGGACATTGCATTATATAGAAAGGGATATAAACAGCCAATCTACTTTTGTATCGAGGCCTCTTCGCTGTAATCAGCTTACACTCCCTTTGCTTAGTATACTAAGCAAACCTGTTGTGACAGTGTTTGCATAGTGTCTTACTCATGCTGTTCTTTTAAAAGTTTAAGGACTGCTTAGCCACATGCCCACCTAGTGTGCTAATGCTGCTGAATGTGTAACCATTTTCCAACAGCCATTTTGTTCTCTGATTTTCTGAACAACAGGTGATCCCTGTGGATTTAAGCCAGAATTATGGGGTTGTTTGACAAGCTAGCGGGATGGCTTGGTTTGAAGAAAAAGGAGGTTCACGTTTTGTGCCTTGGCTTGGACAATAGCGGCAAAACAACAATCATAAATAAACTTAAACCATCAAATGTAAGTAGACTACTTAGTTCACTGCCGATGGTTTTACTGCTGAGTTGATGTTTGTTTAAACTGGTGTGATACTAAATGTGACCATGGAAAGTTAAGAGCTTTTTGATTTAGTACAGTGAAACAAAAATATTCATTAGTTTCCAACTAACTGAAACTAAATGTATGCATCCATGTAAGTACTATAAAAACATTTCCCATAAAAGCACTGTTAATATGGCCTTTTTTTATTTTTCTGAGATCACCCAATAAGGAAGGGTTTGTGTGATGTCTGAAATCGGGATCTGAGACAGTTTTCATAAATCACTTAAATAATTGCTACAGGATTGCAGTTACGAGTGATATGACAAACATTTGGGATTAATATAGTTGTATAACAACTTCTACTTATCTCCATTTACCATACTTATATTATAATCTCTTCCTGAGAAATAATAAGTATATAATAAATAATAAAATATGAAATAATGTGAAGATGCACATCTAATGGTGACATCAGCATTTTTAAAGCAGAATAGCTTTCAAAATAAGTAGCATTTATACTTGCGGTTCATTCATCCAGTAAAAAGTGTCTCAGGCCACTAAGAGCACATAGTATTCTGGGCAAAATTTAAAGGATTACTTTGTTTCTAGGTTTGTTTATGGAATAGAGATATATTAATTTCAGTAGGTATTTTCAGAGCCAAAGGCTTATGCATCTTGGATATATGCATCTGCAAAACTGTGATTTATGCTGTTTAGATCATGACACAGCTTTTGTTTTTAAAATTGCATTTAACTTTTCCTGAGGAGTACCACTGGATATTGTTTAAAAATAAAACATGGTGGAGGATGCTACTTTTCTACTCCTGGCAGTTATTCCTTCACTGAAAATTAAATACATTTATTAACAAAGCCTATAAACTGCTTACTGTCTGCTGCCAGTCATTTGGGGTAAATGCCACAGTTTGTACCAGGCAAATCATGTATTTATGTAATTTTTGGCACCTTTATTGTAGCAGGGGTTTTATGTCATGACTTGAATAGTAAAGGATTCCTAACTAGAGTTGAATGCAGACTTCAAGATTTTTCTCAATAATTTGTATTAGAGAAGGTACCAAGGGAACTACACAAGTAGAATAAATATAATTTGTTCATTTTACTGTAAATTGTGTAATGAGAATTTGCTTCTGAACATTTTAATTTAATGTGATGCTTTAGGAGGATAGCTTTGCATGCAACTTGTGTAAGTCCTGTCCTTGTGAGACATGACAAATTCACTCGTATGGCAAAGGTCATTACATCAGAATTGATGAAATTGTTTCATACTAAAGTAAGTTCAATGGACAAATGATGTTGAGCTCTGGATCAACCCAGTCTTCTGAAGAACTGCTGCTTTGCCTTAGGTGCAATGTATTAGGTGTCTGGTAAATGCAAGTGTTGCTCCGTCTGTTTGCAGTTGTGTCTTCAGGGCCTGATAAGAACATTTTATATGAATATTAAAGAAATAACCTACTCTCCACAATTTTTTCCTTGATGACAGAAAATGTTGACTGACTAAACTGTTTAGGATGGTAGATTGCCATTTTCATAATGAAGCTGCAGGTGAACAAGCTAAGCTTGCTTTGGTTGTATGCAAGGAGTCAACAAACTTACAGATAGTGTTTTTAATAAGGGGCTCTAGAAAGTCTGTGAAAGGATTGCATGTCACTTTCTCAGACAGCTCTGTGATCAAAGGGATGTGACCTTTCTCCCTGCTCAATATTGATGCTTCTTAAAGGAGCTATTCTGTTGTACTAAGCTGATTGGTTCCTTGGCTAGCTCAGCAGTAAACCTGGTTATCAGGCAAATACGTTAGTAATGCTTTATGTTTTGGCCATCCCTCTGTTAAATGGTGACTTCTTCCAGTGGTCTAGTAGTTTGAATAGAACTCTGCTTAGGCCATTGTGTAACTTCTGCTGTACAATTCCTAATGTTATATCGACTTCTCCAGCCTGTGGATAGAAGCTGGGAGTATGGCCAGTCTCTTATCTAAGAGGCTTGGGGTATCTTGCAGATTTGTTTAGGTTGACATTGTGATTTCCAAAATGCGCAAATATTGTGAACTTTGACCTCAGTTGTAATCTTCAAGCTGTTCTTTTCCATGATAACCTGTCTCCAGATTATTTCATAGGTAATATCCACACATAGGTGGACACACAGATTAATGTAAAGGGTGGAATCTCACTCTTGAGGCTAAAATGTCTTCAGTGCTCTTGGCCAATTGCATTTGCTTTATGTCCTAGAAAATGCAAAACCTTGATTTTTATTTACTGTGCTTTTCTGGGAACTTTTTTTAATATAAAGTGTCTGGATTTGTAAAATATTTTTTTTATTGCACAGTTTGGGGGAAAAAGAGATCTGTAATCATGTTTCAGATATATTCCAATATTTATATTTTCTAACCTGATTGTAAAGTTTGTTCTTTCTTTCCTTTGAAGGCTCAAACTCAGGACATAGTTCCAACAATAGGATTCAGTATAGAGAAATTCAAGACATCGAGGTAGTAGTTAATTTCATTTTCTCTATTTAGTCGTAGTAAATAATATACAGTAGGACCTAATTATCTCTTTCAGTGAGATGTAACTGGGTATAATATGTGGTGGTATAATGACACAATGTGCAGTTTGCTGAAATGTAGTACCCAGGAATACTAATAATGATCCAGGAGTCACAGCATTAGAATGTATTGTATGTTTTGTGCTGCTATAAAACGATATATGTGTAAAAAAATGTTTTTTGCAATAGTGAGTATAAGCATCTGATTGCAAACTTGAGGAGAGACAATTGCTTAGGTGGTAACCTATATTCCATTAAGCACTCTCACTGGAGGGACTTTGAAGAGATTGCAGTCTAATCTCATTAAATGAAAAATGGTGGCTACAGCATTAGTCATGTAAAGATGACAGGGATAAAAGTCAGGAAAAGGAGGAAGAAATCATTAGTTGCATAAAGTGTAAGATTTAGAAAAGGAATGTTCAGTAACCAAGAGAATTCAAGGAGGTAACATTAAATATCATTATTCTGTAACCTTCAGAGTGTATTTTTAATGGGTGCAGTTAGTCTTCAAGAAGTATGCCCCACTGGATGAGAGATCTGTAAGAAAATTGCTCGTTCCTTGAACTAGTGTGCAGTAGTGATAGGTTTCGTATTTTAATTAGAGGGTCAACAACTGTGTTCTGTCTCAGTAACGCACATAAGACAGGTTGGGGTTGGGCTGTGTGAGAACGTAAATTGATTTATATTGCTTTTCTTTGTTCTGAATCCATAGTAGGAGAGATGACCTGCAAATACACCGTGTAGAATGATTAAAAAGAACCCAAACAAAGTCACAACTCACCCCCACCCCAAAACCTTATGTATCTAATATTACAATCAAACCATTGTTTGGGGGTTGCTAATAACTTTATACATGGCAGAGCAGCTAGTTTATAATCAGGTGATGTATGGATAGAGTGGAAAGGACGTTTGGAGAGCTTCCATTTCCAAACCTTCTCATTTTTGTGGGGCCTCCTCTCAGGGAGCTCTTCAGGGCTACCCAAAACAAGAAGACCTAATACTGAAGTTGTTGTTACCTCTGTAGATTTTTTAGGAGTGGATTAGTATTTTTTGTAATGGAGTAGATTAGTATTTTTTGCAGTGTTCTTTGAGTGAATGTGGTGAATTTAGTATTTGAGTGAAATCTCAAAGATGCAAAGACTATCCTTTATAGCTTGGTCACCTGAGGTAAGCTGTAATTACCAAAATGTGATTTTTTTAAAAATATTTTTTTTTTCCCGAAGGTAGAATTTCTGAATTTTATTTACTAAACATTATACACAATACTTAATACTAACATGATAAAAACAGAGTTTAAGTGAAGCTTATTTTTTATTCAATGTAACTTTATAATCAGTTTTGTTCTTTTATTCAGAGAATAAGCAAACATGTTTTCCATTGTGAAATATTTCTCTTAAGTCTGCAAAAGTACGTCAAATAGTTTGCAAGCAGATAGAGTAAGCATACTTTTTGGGGGAATCTTTCTTAGTTAATTAGGATTCAAGTTGATCTGGCTTTTTTCTTTCACGGTAGCAAGAAAATAGTTTGGGTTTTGTTCTTTGTCTCTGTGACTTATACACTTCTTTGCAGTTTGTCTTTCACAGTGTTTGATATGTCAGGTCAAGGAAAATACAGAAACCTCTGGGAACATTACTACAAGTAAGTCTGTAATTTATTTTAAAGCATGACTGTTCATGTTAGCTATTGTGTATGTTTATGATATGTAGCACTTAGAAATTATTCAGAGAAGACTTACACCTGGTGTTTGACAGAAGGTCATTCTGTTATAAAAAATGAAAAATTTTATATGCTGTTAATAAGCATGCTTTTGGGGCATCTTCTTGACCCAAAGATTAGGGGAGCATACTAGACATGAGATTTAAATGTTGAAATCTGAAAATCAGTACTGTAAGAAAGCACCAAGATGAGTTAGGTTTCCAATTTTTCTGCTCTTCTGTAGGTAAGTGACATAAGACTGTAAATATATTGGCTGATGGCTGAGACTTTTAGAAATTAAGGAAATGAATCTCAGAGAACATGGCACATATAACTGAGACCTTGACTGAGTATTCTTAGACCTTACTGATTAAGCAGGATATTTGCTCTACTTTATAACACTGTGGTATTTTTTTATTGGTAATAGGCAGCAATTTTTGTTTTTCTGGCTTCTAATGAAACTTGAATCTTCATTTAAATGGCCACATTGTTATTCTGATACTCTGATGCTGATGTAAATAAGGTGAACACTAGTAAACCACACAGAAATAGCTTGGAGAAATACAAGAAAGTAATTCTGAAAATTATAATATTGATTAATACTTCATGTGATAGACCATAAAATAGTCTTTAATCGAGGATTAACTTCATCTCCTTTCTGTGTAAAATATGTGTTAGAGATTTGCAAACTTGTGTGTGTAGGTCTTCACTGTGTTAGATGTATGTCTCCCAAATCTTTTGGATTTCGATAACTGGTGCCTTTAGGCTGCTCTCAAAATGCTAGCTGAGTGCTTTTTAAGCAAATAATTTTTCTGACTGCTGTATTTAATGCTGTAACTTCTCCCTTTTATGGCATAAACAGCTTTTTTCACCTTAATAGTAAGGGAGTTTCTTAAGTAATGCTGACAGTGAAATGTGCACTTTTATCTACCTCTGTTCCTGATTCAGTGCAGTATTCAGATATTTAATAGTAACTTCTAAGAATAATACAAATACTAATAATGTGTTGTTCAGTTTATAAAGTTAAACAAGATTTAATTTTGTAATAATTGCCAAATGGCAATCAAATCTGGTCAAGTAAGTGTCTTAAGTAGTTGCTTTGGAGTACTTGAAGCTTGCCCTTTTCTTTAAATCGAAACTATCTTCTAGGATGTCCTAAAAGAGCACTTTTCTTAAATATATGTGAACTCACATTCTGTTCTTATTACTGTTACTATTTTGAGAAATTATTTTTTTGGTAGTAAATATATGCTAGGATTCTGATTCCTCTAGAAAAATATTGTATGTTCATAAAAATTACTCAGGCCTTTTCAGCTAGTGTGCTTTATTTGTTGTTCGTCTGTACTCCAGAAAAAAATGGACCTTCTTCTGCAGTCTCAGGCTGGTCAAGCAATTTCTGGTTTTCAGTAGGTCTGAGACTTGTTTCTTACCAAAATACGAAGGCAGATGGTTCTAGGGGGTAAAGAATGTGTTTGTAACGGTGTCTTAGAGAGATATAAAACAAAGGAGAAGTGAATATTACATTAAAATGTAAATTTAAAATACTTTTAATTCATAATTTTAGTTCATGCGAATTGGTCAGATGTTGCTTTCAAGTAAGTTTCAATAAATGGAACATCAAGTCATAAAATATCAGTAATATGCTGAAATAATGAGTCAAATAGTCACATACAAGTTGTGTTTGGGGGTATATTGCCAGCAACATTTCTTAATTGTTTGTAGTAGTGGCAAGTTTTTACCTGATTTTCAAAACCAAACAAAGATCCTTTTTATGCAGACTTTGTAAAAAGTTAAATTAATCTGCATATGCTTAGTTGTTAAACAGCTGTGGACATACAGCTTTTAATAAAAAGGTAATTGACTTTAATAAACTTGTTTTAGTGTAGGAAATAAAGAATTTCAAAAAACCCCACAAAAAACAGACTTGAGATTTTCATTGTCTGAGTATGCTGTCAGAATAGCAGTTGGTTACATTTTTGGAGTTAATTTTTCAGCCTCATTAGTAAAATCAAGCTTTTTTAGAAGGGTCTGTATAGACTGAACCTGGTATGAGTCATGGAGCTAACAGCCTCATGCCTCAAAAAATTATACAGGTTACCAAATGACTGGATTCAAATGTTAATGATAAATAACAACAACAAAAATTAGAGGGGAAAAAATAGGTTTGTTTGCTGTTTTTTGGTGTTTCTTCTGAAGCCTTTTCTTAATCACCATTTAAGAGAGCATATAATTTGACTCTTTTCTCTTTTTATGTTATGCAGAGAAGGCCAGGCCATTATTTTCGTCATTGATAGCAGTGACAAATTAAGAATGGTTGTGGCCAGAGAAGAACTTGACGTCCTTCTGAATCATCCAGGTGAGGAGGCTTTTTTCCCCTTCCATCTCTGTATTTGTTATGTTGTCTCAAAAAAATCCTGTATATAACACATTCTTCTTTCTGAGTACATTGCAAATATTTTAGCCATTCATGAATACCAGAACAATAACAATCTTCAACAAGTTTGGGGCTTTTATACTTTTCACATTTACAAACTGATTATATTTCATTTAGAGACACTGAATTGGCTTGGTCTCTTGATCAATATAGATCAAAAGTTCTGTTGTTTTGGAGGAGGAATAGACTTTGACCCTTTGGAAGCTGGAAAGCCTCTATGCGATTATGAACACATACAAAAAAAGTGTCTCCATGTCTGGGTTTTTGCATGAAGACAGCTGATGTCTAACTTTTAATTTATTTTTTTCGACTTAATTACATTTTTTAATTATTATGCTTTAGCCAGAAATAGGGAGGAATTATTGTACCAGTCCGTTTCAATAGCTTATAAAAGGTTACATGGGATGGAAGAGGTTATGAGAAGATTCCTGATTGAGGAGTTGTTTTCAGTGTTTTTGTTTGGTTTGTTTTTTTACATGAGGCTACACCTAATTAAATAAGTTCTGAGATTGATCAATTCTTCACTTCTTTGCCCTTCCATATAATCAATATTACTGGAATGATTTTGTAAGCAATATGCAATTTTGACTTTCAGCATGTTAGATTGTTTCTCTGACTAACCAAATTATAAAACTGTGCAGGAAATCTAAAAGTGAAATAATCCTGTAATTTCTTAATATTTTATTTAGCTGGTAGAGCCTTAACTTCTGGGGTTACCATGCTGAAGGGAAGAAAGGAGATGCTGACTTGCATTTCTACCCAAAAAAGCAGCATTTGATAGGGACAATTATGTTACTGTGATTTGCATATTATGCATTAGTTCATCAACAAAGATGATGTTACTGAGCATGTGTGAGCTGATTTGGCCCACTTAATTTCAAGTTCAAGGGTAAGGGCCACTTCAAATGTGGACACTGAAAAGACAGGCTTGCAAAGGTTGAAGCGGAGGATGAGGTGAACCAAAGGCTGCAGGTGGATTACATAGAGGCCAGGGAACTTTGTCCCAAAGCAGGTATTAACCACAGTGGTGAAAGGCAATTCTGTTGGTAAAGTGCAAACCACATAGAACCAAGGGTGAGAACTGAAGATTGCTCACTTACTAGAAGGCAAGAGTGTAAATGTTGGGACTGAGCAAGTGCATACTTGAGTGGAGCTTTTCATTTAAACGTAATAGGTTATTAATGCTGATTTAGCAGGTCAGTGCTCTTCAGTTGTTGAGGTGTTTGTGTCTTCTAGTTCTGAAAGATCGTGGCTGTGGGCAACTAGTGTGTTCCCTAGAACCAGGAAAGGGCAGTTTGGTATTTCTGCATTGGAGCAGCTGAACTGAGATACAACAAGAGTGTTCCTGTTTCATTGTTTTCGATTTAGATAGGCCACATCTAAAAGAATCAAAGACAATAAAAAGTTCTTCTGGCAGTAGTGTTTGATAAAAGTAGCTGTTAAATGAATCAATATAGAACTGTTTTACTGTATCAATATTTTTATTTGCTATTACTGCTCTTCTTCCTGCACACCAGTCTTTGTCCCCATCTATACTTTTGCATCTGTGAACCTCCTAGAGTGGTTTAAATTTAGATGTTTCTTTTAAGGTTTGAATGTCTGCAGGGTAACAACCTTGAGTCAATTCTTGTCTCTGAAAATGTTAGTAACCCTTCGGTGAAACAGTTGCCTCTTTTTGCCGGACTTTGCCTGAGGTTGCCAGATGAAAAGGGATGTGTACAGTGAAGTATTAATGGGGTTAGAAGTTGTATTAGCTGGCACTGTTTTGTGAGTCAGAACTATGAATTATTTTTTTCTTACATAAGTGGACAGTGCACTTTAGCATTGACAGTTTGTTGGTTTTTTTGGTCCGTCATGTCTCCACACCACACTGTCAGTGCTATGTGCAATGAACTTTTATTTTACTATTTTTAAAATAGTCTGTATGGCAATTTTCATCAGGGGACAGGGGTTAAAGTTCTTTTCCTATTGAGAACTGATTGATATGCTCAAGTCTAGATCTCTTAATCCTATAATTCATCCTTTGTTAAAGTAATGTGAAAAAATCTTCATTAGTCTTAGTGCTAGTAATATTTTGGCAGTTTTACATCTGGCAGGTTGAAGAGAATATACTTTGTTTCTTTCTAATGACTCTCTGGGTTTTTTTGTGGTAATCAGCGAGGCTTATTTATGCTTTTGAATGTGTAACTATGCCAGAAATGGCCACTGTACTTGGTTTGGTCTGTAGTTCTCAATGCTACCTGGGAAGAGCTTCTGGAAAAGAAGTCCTCCTTCAAGTGAATGTAGGATAAGTGATGTCCAAACGTGCATTTTTTTCCTATTTTATTAAGTTTATTATTATTTGCTCTCCAGGATGCTGAAGGATAATTCAGACTGCCTTTATACAACTACTGTTTTGAGGTTATGAATGAACACATGCAATTTTCCATCCATTTTACACATCCAGTCCTCACCAAGCACAGACATGTAGTATTTCTAGGCAGTTTGTTTGATATGCTGTTCTTCAGCTTTACCAGCAATTTGTGCCTGCAGCTTTAAATGTACATATAAGGTAGGAGGACAAGGGGGTGGAAGATCCCAAAGAGTGCCAGAAAGTTTGTTAGCATTCTTAAAATGTGCATTAGAGGCCATGTGACCCAACAATGTTCATCTAGGTAGGATACAACCTTTAGAGAATTGCAGTCACAGGTGAGCAAAATATCTTCTTGTATTGTTTGTAGCTTATTACGTGTAGAGATTAGTGAATGTTTCATAATGTCATGATAGTTCTGTTGCTGCTCATGCCTAGATATTAAGCACCGTCGACTGCCCCTTCTCTTCTTTGCTAACAAAATGGACCTCAGAGATGCAATATCATCTGTGAAAGTGTCTCAGTTACTGTCACTAGAAAACATCAAAGACAAGCCCTGGCATATCTGGTAAATTTTCCTTTTCATTTTCATTTTACTTTGTACATTCATACTTCAGCTCTACCCTTTTATTCATTTTACTTTGTACATTCATACTTCAGCTCTGTCATGCCATTCGATATTATATAACATAAATTAAATCACCCAGATAAAAGGTTGTGCTTCCACATGTGGAAACAGTACTAATATTACAATACTTGCTATGAAAATTGTTTTAAATGCGTGGCGCGTTCTGTATATTTTCATAGTAGAACTATTACCCAAATAATGAAACTGAGGACTTTTAGTGAAATCAGAAAGCGGTGTTCTTATCAGTAGAATAGCTGCTCCTATTTTTTGCTGGGAAATTGAGTGGAATTGTTGTCAGAGTACTGCTGCTTGTTTGTCTTGCAGGTTTCAGAATATCAAGAAAAAAACTTTGGAGTTCTTTTTTTGTGCTCTGAGGGGGTTTAATAAACTGCTGTTAAAGGTCCTTTAGTAAAATGTTGTCATGTTAATTCAAATGACACTATTCTTTGTACTGTGTAATGGTTGAGAGGATTTTTAGTTGAAGGAGCTAGTGTCTTTTCTTTCTGAAATATGTGAGCTTTCATATAAATAGAAGCATTTTATGCCAGTGTTGACAAGGAAAAAACATCTTTTGTCAGAAGTGTTTTACAGGAATTAGAGTTTTGTCTTTAATGAAGTATTTATATACTAGAAATAAAACTGAAATCAGCAACTAAGGGCTGTTGAAAACTACAGTTTTCATTTTGAGTCTTTTAGTATTAAATTTGATTACCTGGACTTTGTTTTGGGATCACTGCTTTTTGTCTCAGAAAATACACGGATGAATTCCCAAGCTCCTTGGAAGATAATTTTATAGCTAACCACATTAACAGTCCAGATTCACAGGTGTACTAGTTTTAATAAACTGAAGGATGGGGGCCCTTTTACTAGTTGTAACCCTGTGATTCAAAAGCTAGGTTTACACTGTTCTCAGTGTAGTTCAACGTATGTTAACAGACCCTGCAAGGGTTGCTGTTACAATGAAGTGTACGTACATTATACTTTCTTCCTCTAGTACTCCAGCATTCTCACTATGTATAGAAACTGCATGGGAGAATGGCTGGACTCAATGATCTTAAAGGGCTTTTCAACCTAAATGATTCTTTGATCCATTGCTGCTGCAGCATAGTCTGAGGATGGACTTATCTAAGTGGAGGTGCTGCAGAACAATCTGACTGTCTTGTGGGGGAGATCTTCTAGAATCCCTCATGTTCTAGGGAAGTTCCTCTGACTGGAAACTGGAATTAAAAATAGATCACATCTTGAAATTGTGCTTCTGTATTGAGAAGATAATGTAGAATGTATCATTTGAGAAGCAGACATCTCCATGTGAAGAAAACTTGAATAAACTGTTCTTGGTTCTACTTTCCAGTTCTTGTAATTTAAGTATAGTGATGACTCCACTAAAACTGGAATTTTTCTCTGTTTTTTAATTTGATTTGTTTCTTTCAGTGCCAGTGATGCTCTTAAAGGAGAAGGCTTACAAGAGGGTGTGGATTGGCTGCAAGGTACATCAAATGCAATTCTCTTCCTCTATTTTCATTTTGTTAAACTTTTTCATTTTGTTAGGTTTTTTTCTTTATTATTTCTTTTGTTTTCTTTCTGTCCACTTCTGCTGTCAGATCAAATTACACAGTGAGTACTGATGCTCTGTCTCATTTGCCTTTATCTGCTTAACGTACACAAAAGATCATGTCAGTTCATCTGACAGAAGTGTGTACTTTGAGAGATACTAAGGCATACTCTTGCACTGTAACACTTTCTTGTAAACAATAATAATACCAGCTCCTGCACTGCGGTTTATTATTGTGGTAGTTCAGTTTGTTTCTTAATGTATTCTGTCCCTGTCCCAGGTTTGTGTAACTTAATGTTACATATTAGAAAATTGTGAGTAAGTGTGAATAGAGAATCTGCGAGAGGGTGTCCCTGTACCGCCTGTTCTGTGCGGTGGCAGCCGGTAGATGTCAGCGGTGCTCCAGAGTCCGTGCCGCTAAACGTATCGCCTTTGAAGTGCAGTTAGAGAACATCTAACGTTGTCCCTGATTTCACGTCTCCATTTATCTAGAGATACCAGCGTCTCCTTTGTACTTAGAATCCTTAACGCTAGTTAGAAAGAGATGTCTTACATTACTGTATTATTACAGAATGCAAAATCATTTGGTCGTGTTTTCGGACGAATGGATGCTAGCCAAAAATTGTCTTTACAAAGACACTTGCTGCCCTACAGAAGAACAGTGATGCATCCTCCACCATCTGAAAGTGTTCTGTGCTGAGAAACCAGCATTTTCTTACTGAGTTTCCCTCAGTGCTGTATATTATCATAGAGGCAGATTCCTAATCACGTACTTTTCCCTGATTTCTGGCATAGTTCTGATTTTTCTAATATTTTTCTGTGATTTTCTGGATCTCTGTTTATCTTTGAGAAACCTTCTAAATTTCAATCCAGATTTGAGTTGATGATTTTGTACATACAAGCTACTTAAAATTGTCTCAAATGCTTGTCTAAATATTTTCTGACAAAATATTTAAGTTGTAAATGTAAATTTTTAAGCACAGTAAGTAGGTGCTTCTGCTGTCACTCATTGCTTTTCATAGCTCTTCTCATGGAATTTTCTGAGCTGAAATTTTTCATGGATGGACTTTTATCTAAAAATGTCCTTTAACTCCCTGGCTCAGTGTTCCCAAAAGCTGAGGAGGATTTGGGTTTAAACTGTATTGTTGCCTAAGCACGTGCAGTTTGGCAATTATACTTTTAATGGATGAAGACTTCGATCTTAACAAGAAAAAATGTTTACTACCATTCTGCTCCTCATTCCTAGAACACTGGATGGAAATATTTGTAACAACTCTTAAGTTATAATGGTCACTAAATCAAAGCCTGTCGATATAATAAAATGTAGGGAAGGAAATAACACCTGGTTAATAAATGCACAGTTCTCCCTGTCAACAGCCATGCTTTCCTTAATTATATTTTGCAGAAACGTTATAGATAGTTCACAGATTTGGGGTGGCAGGTGCAGAAAGTTTTTGCCTTTTTTTTTCCCAGCAATAGCTAAATTTGCATATTTCCCTATTTTGGAATTTGGTTACTATTGCAACAATACATCATCAATTAACCTGCCTCACAACAATCTAAACCCAGCTCATTCCCTCTTAGAGGGGGAAATTGTACCAATTTCCAAGTTTTGTATTGGGGATGCAGTACATTTATGCTAACTAAGGAAATGTTTGAAGTTAATTGAGAAGAGGCAATCAGACAGCAGTTTGGAGAAGGGTGGCTCCTGAGAGCAAAGACATTTTCATGTGAATTTTTAAAAACCAAACTTCAGATCCTTTCCTGTAGGGAAGTTAGCTGATGTTCAATTATGTGGAAGCTAAAATGTGTACAAAAAATTGAAATGTGTACTTCATAAAGTAAATTTACAGGCCTTATTCTCATCAATGTTACCTTATAAGCCCCCCAAAAGATCAAAGTTTAATTATGTGGAAGTGTCTTACTGGTTAATTAGCAATATTTGGGAGAAATAAATTGAGCATGGAGAAATTTTCACAAGTCAATGAGAGAGTAACTGGAAGCAACAGCATTGTCCCCCATTCCTGTAACTACACCAAAATACCTATTGGTGCAGTTCTGCAACCTGGATAATACTGGGTTATATTTTCTAAAAGCAAAATACAGCAAGAATTAATCTTGTGTTAAGAGTAGCTGTTTCTTTTTGTTAACAGATCAGATCCAAGCAATGAAGACATGAGAGAGAAATAAAAGATGGACTGCGTTCTTTTATGAACTTTGTCAATAGGTGTACAAGTTCTGTGAAAAAGAATGATTTAAAGAAAACAAAGTTCAGCTAAAATGTACTGTGTTGACTTGTTTCCTTTTAGTATCTCTTCCAGGAAAATTGAAGGTAGACAACATAGCACCTCAGGTATGCACATTGAATTAAATGGAATTGTGATTGGGGAGCATATTTTTTAAAAAGATTTGTGTTAACAATAAACATCTGCATTCATTAGAGTTTTAGGAGATAATTAGCCATCAGGAAATACCCCTCTGTTTTTTGGGGGGACACCTTTTGACCAAATGGGAATATTTTCTTTTCCTGAGAAAGAATAATCAGCACTTGGATGGTTGGACTTGCTGATCTTTAAGGTCTTTTCCAACCAAGGTAATTCTGTTATTCTGTGATTAATGAAATACAGCTGCATGAGATTCCTACTAATTTAGGTGCCCATTTTTAGGTATTTCTGCAATTATTTTTTTTTTGAAGTTTTATGACAGGTTACTAAAACCATCTACAACAGGCTTCTAAAGGAATATTTTTATTTAAAATACAAGGATTGAAATACTCAGTGTATATGTTACAGATGATTACAGATGTTTTTAAGGAGCTGCTTTTACCGCAATGTTATTGTCTTTGTGATATGCAATGGTTCTATTTGCATTTCTGTCAATAAAACTTAAAATATATAACATTAAATGGTTTGATTTTTATATGTTCATAGTCTTTACATTTTAGAGATTTTTTTTTGTTTTCTATTAGTTTCATTTGGAATTTGTTCATTTTTCAATGGAAATAGCATTGTATACTGTAATGAAATAGTATTTTTTGCCAAGCTTTTTAATTGCATGTATTTGTTATACTTTCTAATAAACTAGACTATTCTTCCAGATATTTAAGGATCATATGGTTGAAAGTTATATTTTGAAAGCACAGCTAAGGGCACGTTTTACTAGTTTACTAGATTATTAATATGAAAGGTGTCTTATACTTCTGCTGTATATAAAAGCTCTTTTACTTTCTAAACTAATTTATAATAGATTTTTCTGACTTCAAAGATGTACCATAGATAACAAATCAATCCAATGCTAAGAACTTAATTTTTGTGATGCCACCTCTTCCCCTGTGATCCCTCCTCCCTAGTCCAAGAAACAAGCAGGCTGGCACTGGGAATGCTGAAGACTGTATTTAACTCAGTTATTAGCTGATTCCTGTGGGAGATGTAATATGTAGGTCTTCCAAAAACTTCACGCCCCCCCTTATTAGTGTATAAAATACAGAAGTGTTACATAAGCCTGCCTTCTAGGGCTCACTTAATAGAGGGACCTGCCTGAAATGGTAGCACAGTTTCATGTACTTTCAGTTATTATTAAACAATTCAATTCCCCTCCTTTGCTAGAGGGAAAAAAGTCTTACTGTGAAAAAATCTTTCTTACATAATGCTGTAATGCTGACAGTTCAATTTGTCATGAAACTACTTATCTTTCATGTCTTTCTGTGACACCTTTGGCTTTCTGTCAACTCTGAGTCTAAATATCTATACAAAACCAAATACAAAGGAGGAAAAAATCATATATCATGTTTTCCTAACTCCTAATTGTAGGGCAGATAATTTTCTGGTTTACTTTGCGTGGGATAATATGGTAGCAATAAGTATTTTGCAATTATCTTTGTTCACTAACATGGCTTATTTAAATGAAATATTTAATTTTAAGTTAGAATTAATCAAATTTTAGTGAAGGAAATTTCAGTTCTTACATAAAAATCATCTGCATTTCTGACTTTCTTGAATAGTCTGAACCTTCATGGCTTTCTGATTATTTTTTGTTTATATTGGACTACACAAATTATTTTGTTTATTTTATGGATTGCCATTACTATCATGGCAAGCTGTTTGAACCTACTGTTTGGTTCGTCCACCCACAAATTTCAGGAAAGTACCCCATTGTCTTTTTTGCTTTTTGATGTGGTTAGTAAGCCCTTTTTGGAAACTGCTGTTACTTATTTATGTTGATTATTGTTCCCCTTCTTAGATTGTTTTGGCGTTCTTTGTGGTGTGTTTTTTGTGGGTTTTTTTTTCTTCAGGAGCTCTTTCTGTTCCTCTCCTGCCAAGACAGTGGGCTGGATGGAGACCTGTGTGAAAGAGTGGGAGTGGGGACAGTCCTGTTAGTGAAACACTTGATTTTAATTTTTTTTTCCCCCATTACTGCTTCAGCCATTATTTGTCTCTCACTTATAAAACATTTGTTATCGCTTCAGGAACATGAAAATACTGGAGGGATATCTGCATGTTCACTTCTCCCCCCATGGTGCACAAGCACAGGTTCCTCACCTACACAGTTGCTACAGCTTGGAGCTGCTCTAGTAATGTTGAATTTGGTAAAAGGATCATATATTGCACAAAAGCAAAGTGTTGCCTTCTGCATATCTCTTTTTTGTTTGTTTTTTTTTTATCAGGTAAACGAATTCTAGGAATTAGGAATTCTAATTCTTTCCAGCCTTGCCTCTGATACTTAGCACGTGAGTCCATGGGAACTTTGTCTTTAACCTGTAGCTTCTTGCAGGTATGCTGAGGATCTCCATGGCCTGAAGACTCCTGGGCAGTTTTCCGTTAATTGAATGCAGTTCTAAGTGTTATGATGTTAATCTAATGGACCCTTCTTTTAGTCTCAGCCCTCTAATTATAGTATGCTTGGTGATTTTTATTTACTAATAAGATAAGCTGCTGTGAAAGGCTAGATGTAACAACTCAACTGCACTGCTTAGTTGTCTATAGGAAGGCATTCTGATGTGCTAATGTGTGGAAGGGTAATATGGAGTTTCAGTGCTTCCTTAAAACAGCTGTGCAACCCACTGCCTCAGAAAGCAGCTTATCTCTAGCATGCTCTAACAAGGAAATAACATTTTTTTTAGTAATAAGAAAGAAAATTAGTATTGATTCAAAATACTTGTCCTTAAACGCAAATATTTCTTATGCCAACAAATACAGTTTGATCTCAAAACTTTCTTCTTTAAAAAAAAACAACAGCAACAAGAAACAACGTACTTGTTTGGGAAATCACTCTGCTTATGTTATCTATTCCTATTATTCTTTCTGACCTGCCTTATTTCTGTTTCACAAAAATTCTTACAAATCTTGCTCCTAAGGTTTCTGGTCTGCTCCTTTTAACTTTTGCAGAGTACTCTGCTAGTGAAACTTTGCAGCTCCCTCCCCTGTTGGTTTATTGAGGTATTTTGGGAAGCATAATATGAGAGAGGGTGACAGAAGATTGGAATAAAAAAAGGGGGGGGAAGGGGAATGGGATGGGGGAACTACTGGGAAAAGGGTTCCACTGTTCTGTTTTAGAAAAAGGAAAGTTTGCTTTGAAAGTTTAACTTCAAAATCTCTGATTTTTATTTTTTTTTAGTTGTTATTATTGCATAGCCCATACTTGACTGCTTACATTGTAAAATGCACTGTTACTGTGCAAAAGTAGTATGTGTACTAGCTGATCAGAATTCAGGACTTCTAATGCTGTATCATAAAAAATGCCAGGTGTTGTTAGTAATAATCTGTAGCCATACTTTAGTTTTGAGGCTCTGGAGCTCCTGTCACAATAAGTTACATCACAGAAGCACCTGTGTTCATGTGAACCAGTATTTTATAATTAATTTACCAGTGTTCAGTCAGTTGCATTGCTACTTAGTTGGCTTAAAATTACCAGCCATATGAAGTTCATGTTCTCAGAAGTACAATACATATGCAATAACATACTGTTCTTTTTCAGTGGATGTCAGGATTTTGCCATGCAAAACAGTCGTGTTTACTTTTTCCAGTTTTCTAATAATAGCATGAAACCCGCTCCCACTGCTCTTTTTTTCAAAATCAATCCTTAAAATGAAAGCTAGGTTGCTAATGTCTCATGTCACATTAAATTATCTTATGTTTTACAAATTGTCAAAAGATGAACTTAAATGTATTAGAATCGTATTACTCAGGCACCAATGCACAAGGGAGTGTAACTAATTTCTCTGTGATTCAGGGGGCACCTTTGAAGATTAAGTTAACTTGTTTAGCAAAAGAAGTGTAAATTTAGAAACTTCATGTTAGGCCATCTTTTTAAAAACAGCTTTTTCTTGGAGGATCGGTACGTAGATCTGTAAACTTGGCAAGATAGTGATTGGGCCAAATTTAGTTTGCTTAAGAGTTGCTTAACAGTTCTCAGTAAAGAGAAGAAAAGACAGTAAGAAAAGGATGGAAGAAATCAAGGAAATTGGGATGTGTGGAATAAGTTTGTTCGGGCTGAAGTAGTGTCATGCTAATGTTCATTAATAGTGAAGAAACCCAAGCCTCTTGAGGCTCAATGAAATAACCAGGATAAAAGATGCTTGGCAATAGACACATCAAACTGCTTTTGTAGACCATGATGGTGCTTAGGACAGCCTGTGTGTTTCTGTGTTTCCTTCAGCCTGCCTCCTTTCTGGCTCTTCAGACTGAGGACCTCATAGTTGTTGCAGCACATTGGGTGCATTCTGAGCTTCCCAGTGTAGTTTAATCGAGAAAGAATTCAGATTGTGTACTCCCAGCATACTTTGTGATGTAAACAAAAGCACTCTTAGTGAGGAGGATCTTTACGCTTGTGACCTGAACACACTAGTGTAGGCGTGCCTGTCCCTTAAGAGGGAAACAATCCCAACATGTTAAAACCATGGAGTTGAAAACATGTAAAAGAATGGCAGTACTTGGCAAGAGAACACCAGGTACCCCAAGGTTTTAGTAAAAATACAAGTTTGTAATACAGTCCAGTCAGAACTGGGAGAGTTTAGCCTGCTAAGAAAGGATGTAACCAGTAGAGGGGGATTAAGTGGTAACACTACCAGTTCAGAGGAAATGGTGTAATACGGCTTTTGAAAAGCAGGCAGTTATGAATAAAAAGACTTAGCAGCTGTCAGGTGTCGTTGCTATTCCTGGTATCATCTGTATGATTGTGCATGTTTAAAGATGTTACTAGGGGAAAGCTTTGCAATGCTTTTTTTTTACTTAAAATCTCACTCTGCAACTAAATCTCTATATGTTTTAATCTTATCCACTAACATTAATTAGCATAAACTTACCCAGAAAAAAGTGTCTAAAAAATGATGCCACAAGTAACAAATTCAGTGAACCAGGAACTGCATGTTATTTTCAATGATAACAATATTTCAGGGTTT